ACAGGGAAGGTGAAAAGTCACATCTTGTCATATGGTCATGATCTCTACGCTGATGAGCTTGGGCTCTCTCCCAAGGGTAGCAGGGAGCCATGGAGAGAGTGTGAGCAGGGGAGAGACAGATGAGCATGTAAGAAAGGTCCCCCTGAGGCCAGTGTGGAGAAGCTGAGACTGGGGGCTGGGAGGCCAGTTGCAGAGTCCAGAACCAGCTCTGGGCTGTGGGGTTGGCGTCAAGGTGAGTGTGCAGAGAGAGGTGTCCTGAGGCTGCTGCAGGTCCTTAGTGTCAGACCAGCGAGATGGGCACAGATGAGTATCCCACATCATCACGCAGCCTGTGGGGCCATTGTCCAGAACCCCCGGCCCATGAACTTGGAGCTATGAAACCCAAGCTGGCCAGGGGTCGGCTGCAGAGCGATTGGGGCTGAGGCCCCAATTGCGTGGGCACAGGACATTCATTATTGATGGGCACACCTTTCACCAGAGAGCCCCATTGTCTGGGTGAGGACAGCTTGCAGGGTCACCTTGGCCATCATGATCAGATTACTGAAGGGGAAACTGAGGCTCAGACAGGGCCAGGCCGACCTCAGGCACTAGGGAAGATGGGCAGAGCTCCGAGCATTTTGAAGGCTGGCGTTTCATCCGTCCCAAACATCTCACTTGTCAGACAGAAACCAAGGCTCGGAGAAGGAGAGAGACTTGGTCAAGGCCACACAGAAACCCAAATTCAGGGTGTTCCCTAAGGAGACCCGGACAGGGAACTGGGTGGTCAGGGCTGAAGTTGCAGATACCATCCCCTTGCTTTGAGTTCCTAGCCATCATATGACCCAAGGGCTCCGGCCCCCCCAGAGACAATCCCCAGCAGCTTAGGGACCTCAGAGTCATCAGCGGTCTCTACGAGGCTGCTGCTCAGCATGACCCAGTGAAGGTATGACATCACCGGGTGGTGGCATCTGAGTGGAGAGCTGGCCTGACAATCTGGATAGTGTGTGTGATATTCAGTGATTTGCAAAATGCCTTTCATTTACCTTTTCAAAAAACCTGAATATTAGCTGTTTGCCTCTGCTCTGGCCCATTGAGGAAACCTGTGTCCCATTGAGAGAGGGAAGGAAGGTGTGAGAAGAGGGTGGAGGGGGGTCTTTAGAGGCAGGGTCCGGCTGAGAATGTGATGATGTCAAGAGATTCATAGATTGTCTAGGATTCTCTGAATGCTTGCTGGGAAGTGATTTGGCTTTAAGTGTCCTTCCTTCTGCCAACCCCACCTGCCTGATAAACTCCTATTCATGCTTCAAAGCCCAGCACCAAAGCCCCTTCCTCCAGGAAGCCCTCCCTCCTCTCTGACTTGCTTTCCCCCCATAGTCTCCCCTAGCCCTGGGGCCCTCTTTCCACCATGGCCCTGTCCCCAAGGGTTTGTCTGGCTCTGTCTGCTTGAGGGCCAGGCCCAGGGCTGACAACTGCTGGGGACCCAGCATCCTTCAGTGTGGAACGAGGAGCTGCAAAGGTGAGAGTGAGGGACAGTCCCTCCCTCCCTCC